ACTAAACAGGAAATAACACAATGAAGCAAATGATTGATAAAATGTACTACATTAAAAAGAACTTTTCAACAGAAGATACCATAAAAGAGTGAAAAGGTAAGATACAGAGTAGAAAAAAGACATTTACAACATTTTGTAAAGAATTTATACAAATCAATGAGAAAGACAACTGTATAGGAAAATGAGCAATAGAATTGGGTAGTCATATCACAAAAAAATTATCCAAATAAAATATACTAAAGGTTTTCATCATTATTAATAATCAGAGAAATACAAATTAAAACCACAGTGGCTACCAGAGTGGCTACATATTTAAATTTTTCAAATTTTTGAGATAATTATAGATTCATAGGAAGCTGGAAAAACAGTGCAGAGAGGTCCAGTGTATGCTTCACCCAGATAACCTTGAAAGGTTATCTTAGATAATTAAATCTAATTAAATCTGATAGCTTAGATAATTAAACCACAATATTAAAACCAGGAAATTGATGTTTATTATCACAAATGTGTGTGTATACTTCTCTATCATTTTATCACATGTAGATTCACATAACTACTATAAAAGTCAAGGCACTGAATTATTTTATCACCACAAAGATCTCCCTTGTGCTATTAAACTTACACCCATCTGCTTCCCCTCTGCTATTCCTAATCCCTGGTAGCCATCAATCTGTTCTCCATCTCTATAATGTTGTCATTTTGAGAATGTTATATAAATGGAATCATACAGCATGTTACCATTTGAGATTGATATTTTTAAAAAATCATAATGCCCTTGAGGTCCATCCAAAATGTAGTTTATATCCATAGTTTGGTCCTTTTCAAAAAGACTAAATTTTTAAAAACTGACAGTACCAAGTGTTGATGAGGATGTAGAGCAATAGGAACTTTGATATACTGCTAATGGGAATGTAAATAGGTACAACTACTATGAAAACATATTTGCATTTTCTACTAAAGTTGAAGTGCACCACCTGATTCAGCAATTCCGCTCCTAGTAAATACTCAATAAAAATGTATGTTGTCATAAATCACAGGAATTTTTTTTGGATTCATCTCCTAAAGTAAGGGAAATAAAAACAAGAATAAATAAATGGGACCTAATTAAACTTAAAAGATTTTGCATGGCAAAGGAAACCATCGATAAAAGGAGATGACAGCCTATTGAATGGGAGAAATTATTTGCAAATGGTATGACCAATAAGGGGTTAATATCCAACATATATAAACAGCTCATACAACTTAACATCAAAAAAAAAAAAAAAAAGAATGCTCAAGTAAACACTAGTTGGACCGTTAAAAAATAATAATAATAAAAAAGTAAAAACAACAGAATACAAAAAAACAAACAAACAAAAAAAAAACAAAAAAAAAGAAAGAAACCCGATTAAAAAATGGGCCAAAGAACTGAATAAACATTTTTCCTAAGAGGACATGCAGGTGGTTAACAGGCACATGAAAAGATGCTCAGCATCACTAATCATCAGGGAAATGTAAATGAAAACCACAATGAAATATCACTTCACACCTGTCAGGATGGCTCTCATCTAAAAGAACACAATAACAAATGTTGGCAAGGGTTTAGAGAAAAGAGAACCCTCCTACACTGTTGGTGGGAATGTAAATTGGTGGAGCCACTGTGGTAAATAATATGGAGGTTTTTCAAAAAACTAAAAGTAGAACTACCATGTGACCTGGAATTTCCAGTCCTGGATATATACCTGAAAAAAACAAAAAACACTAATTTAAAAAGACACTTGCACCCAATGTTCATAGCAGCATTATGTACAACTGCCAAAATATGGAAGCAACCTAAGTGTGCATCAAAAGATGAATGGATAAAGAAGATGTGGTATACACACACACACACAGACACACACAGACACACACACACACACACATAGTGGAACACTACTCAGCCATAAAAAAAGAACAAAATTTTGCGGTTTGCAGCAAAGTGGATGGACTTGGAGGGCATTATGCTAAGTGAGTAAGTCAGAGAAAGACAAAATACTGTATGATCTCATTTATATGTGGAATCTAAAAAATACAACAAAGTAGTGAATATAACAAAAAAGAAACAGACTCACAGATATAGAGAACAAACTAGTGGTTACCAGTAGGGAGAGGGAAGTGGGGAGGGGCAATATAGGGGTGGGGTAGCAAGAAGTACAAACTATTAGGTATAGGATAAGCTACAAGGATATGTTGTACATATCCAGGGAATATAGCCAATATTTTATAGTAACTATAAATGGAGTATAAACTTTAAAAATTGTGCATTACTGTATTGTATACCTGTGACATATAATACTGTATATCAACTACAATTTACAAAAAGGTAAAAAAACATGTTCACCAAATAAGTGTTCAGTAAAAACATATTTATAGCAACATTATTTATAGCAGCTATAGTCTGGAAAGGACCTGATGCTCATCAACAGTAGAATGGATGTTTGTATTTATCTTTTTTTAAAAAAATTACTTAATTTTTATTTTTGACTGCGTTGGGTCTTCGTTGCTGCACGTGTGCTTTCTCTAGTTGCGGTGAGTGGGGGCTGCTCTTCGTTGTGGTGTGCAGGCTTCTCATTGCAGTGGCTTCTCTTGTTGCGGAACACGGGCTCTAGGCATGCAGGCTTCAGTAGCTGTGGCATGTGGGCTCAGTAGTTGTGGCTCGTGGGCTCTAGAGCACAGGCTCAGTAGTTGTGGTGCACGGGCTTAGTTGCTCCGTGGCATGTGGGATCTTCCCGGACCAGGGCTCAAACCTGTGTCCCCTGCATTGGCAGGCAGATTCTTAACCACTGTGCCACCAGGGAAGTCCCTAGAATGGATTTTTTAAAATTGTGGTTTGATCATACAATAGAGTACCGTAGAGCAGGGATGGACAAACTTTTTCTGTAAAGAGCTGTGTAGTAAATATTTTAGGCTTTGTATGTCATACATTGACTACGGCAACTACTCAACCCTGCAGTTGTAGCATTGGAGCAGCCGTGTGCAATATGTAAACAAATGGATGTGGTTGTGTTCCAATGAAACTATTTACAAAGACAAACTTTGGCCTTTAGGGGCTGTAGTTTGTTAACCTCTGCTGTAGAGCCGCAAACTATAGGTGAATCTCATAAAGATAATTTTGTGTTAAGGAAACCATACATTATGATTACTTTTTTATAAAATTCAAAAACAGGAAAAATGAATCTAAAGAATTAAAGTCTGAGTATTGGCTGTTTTTAGGAAGAAAGACAGGGCAGTGCTAGGAAGGAGAATGAAGGGTACTTCTAGTGTGCTAGTTATATCATCTTTACTCGAATGGTGGTTCCACAGGTCTCTTCACTTTTGACTTATTGAGATATATACCTATGATTTATGCCCTTCTCTAGTGTGTGTGTATACATATATATGTAAACGGGGGTGTGTTACACCATACTTAGTTTTAAAAGTTAAAAACAAAACAGAAACGTATTATTTGTGTTCCCATCAGAATAGAACTGTGTTTATTCATTTTTGGTATATGATAAACATACAATAAATGTTCATTGAAGTGGGAGTTGCTAATAGCAAGCTCTGTAGCAAGATAAGGGACAGTGAAGAGTAATGACTCAATTAGCTTGAAGAGCTTATTGAAGACTTTTGGGAAAGCAATTTTGGTATAGGGGAAGTAATCATTTAAGGCATTTTCATGAAAAGAAGATAGATCCTAGTTTAAAAGGCTAACTGGATCTAATAAATGGTGTGAGCTGTCAAGTAACATTCATGTTTGAAGACAGAAGGAAAAGATTGTTTGGATAGCTGTTAAAAGCAAGATGCCACAACTATTTTGTAATGATGATGTTTAATTTGGCTCATCAGACAGATACTTTTGTCATGTCTTTTACCTCCTTACACTCTTTTTAGATGTTACTCTGTAAAGGGTCATGGACCAATTAGCACTCAGGAGTAGTGTAGATGTGATACAGAGTTTATTGGGGAAAACTTACCAGAAGTAATAGAATGCAAGTAGTCCTTCAAACTCTTTTTTTTCCCCACAGCTTCAGCCAGGCTTCAATAGTCTTCATGCATTATGGCCCGATGACCTTCCAGTAGAGAATGGCCTCCACCTCTGTAATGTTTTACATATATGTAGGTCAGGGCAGGGAACATCTATGTGATTATGTAACAAAAATTAGAAAGGGGCCCTAGGGGCAGGGATGGGCCCATTTTTCCTTTGAGCTAACAGCTTAGACCTACGCAGTATCCTTGCTACTAAGCTTATAAAAGCGGTTTGGAAATGAACCTTCAGAGCCATCTAGGTTTATGTTTCATCACATGTTTCCCACTATTAGAAAAAGAGGCAGAAACTTCTTGGACTAGTGTTAAAGATCTATTAGCTTTCTCCAGCTTCCTTACCAGACCACTGGTTCTAAACAAATTTTGTCATTTACTGAATTCTGATAAATGATTGCTTATTCCAAGCTTCTCATCTTTGCTCATAGTACCTAATTTAGGATGCTTTTCCCTTTCTCTAAGTTCTCATTCTAAGGAGCTGCTTTGTCCCATCTCTTCTGTGATGCCTCCCTTATGATCTCAATTCTTATACCAAATACTATCCACTTTTCATACACTGTCTAATATTATTTTTATGTGTGCATTTCTTTCTTTCCATCTAACTTGTAAATTCCTTAAGCGTAGGGAACATGAATTTGGATTACTTTGTAACCTCTGTAATACTCTACTGGTCTTGTGTGTAAATGCTCAACAAATAGTTAATGATAAGAATGTATGTTCTTATAATGTATTTTAATTATAAAATAGTCATAATATTTTAGGGTTCTTGATGCCTCTTTTAGACTCTGAATATTAATTATTATTAAGTATAATGCTAGATTCTTTATTAGAACATCTTTTCTATTCAGTTGCAGTAAATTCCTGTTTTTAAAACTCATTTTTTGAGATTAGTATCAATTATTGTCTGTTGGTTACTCTATTAGCCAGTTCAGTAATTAGATTCCTCCATTCTACTTCAGCAAGAAGTTGAGAACTTTAAGAAGCTAAATCTCATTAGTAAAGAGCAGTTTGAAAACCTAACACCTGAACTTCCTTTTGAGCCAAACCAAGAAGTTCCTGTAGCACCTTCACAGTCCAGGCAAGGTATGTAAATCTGATTTTGTGTAAGTGTCTGAATAATATTAAAGCAGTTCTAAATTGTTTTTAAAGTTTGCTCCTTTTTTATTTGTGGAAAACATTTAGATATCTGGTAAAAGACTAGAATTTTAAAACTCAACTTTTATTTATTCTTTGGTGAACTTCAAAACATTTTAGAGACTTAAAAATACAGATTGTAAATTTGGTAAGACAGCCATGTAGTAAATGATCATAGTTGGAAGCCCACCTTACTCTTGGTGAATAGGCAGGTAATCACAAAGGTGATCCAGGAGTTGTCTATTATAACACCATCTCATGCTCAAACCCAAATGCTTACTTAAAAGTAGGCTGAATTGGTTGGTTTCTTTATGTGTCTCTTTTGACTTTGAGATTGCTGGGAATGGTTCTCTTTGCAAAATAAGGAAAAATTTTCACTCACTTGCTGATTCCTTAAAATATACCACTAACATCATTCTTTTGCTTTAAGGCCTTATCTTTGTGTGAAAGTGTAAGTACATTTGGGAGATTCATAAAATTGAATCTGACATTTTCAGGCAAATGTAACTGATTTTATTACAGTTTTTCCTGAAGGCAGGTTAAAGAAAAACTTTTAATTTGGAAAACTTCAGACATATGCAAAAATAAAGCAAATTGTATAATGAAACCCCATGTACCCATTACCTACCCATTAGCTGCTTTATCATCTCATAGCCGATTTTATTTCATCTTGACTCCACTCATTCTCTTTACCTCCCACTTGGATTATTTTGAAACAAACACCCAGTCATATTATTCATATTTTTTCATTCCTAAATATTTCTGTATGTATCTTTGATAAGATAAGGACTACCTATTTTACACATAAATAAGCCAGTACCATTATCACATCTAAAATTAACAGTAATTCCTTAATATAAAATATCTAATTGGTGTTCAAATTTTCTCATTCATCACTTAAAAAAAAAATCAGGATCCATATAAACTCCAAACATTGCAGTAGGTTGATATGTCTCTTTTAGTGTATAGGTTCATACTGTTGTGTTTTTTTTCCCTTGAACTTTATTGTTGTAGAAACTAGATTGTCCTGTAGAATTTCCTACATTCTGGACTTTGCTGATTGCATCCCGTGGTTTCATCCAACCATTTTCTGGTCCTGAATTTTCTTTAACTGTGATTTTGATACAGAGGCTTGATCAGATTGAGGCTCACATTTGTGCAAGAATATGTCATATGTTGTGTTGAATACTTATACCAGGAGGCACATAATGCTCGATTGTCTCTCTTTGGTGTCTGTCTTTGATAATCATTGCTTGAAGGTTTATTTCACAAGGGGCTTCAAAATAGTGATAATTCTATTTTCATAATTCCTTCTTAATTTAGTAGATTACTTCCATAAAGAGGATTTCCCTTAATTGACTATTTGTTTTTCCTGAGATGGAGTTCTTATAGGAAAGGGAATAAATGCTTAATTCTTTCACTTTGTTTACTAGTTTTCAAAGTAATGAGCTGGTTCTCTACATCTTTCTTCGCTGACCAATGAGGAGGTGTTTTGTTTTTTTTGTTTTATTTTAAAATTATCCCTATGATCAAAACTATTAGAGCTCATCAAAAAATTTGGTAAAGTTGCAGGATATGAAATTAATATACAGAAATCAGTTGCATTTCCATACAGTAGCAATGAACTATCAGAAAGAGAAATTAAGGTAACAATCCCAATTACAACCCCATCAAAAAGAATAAAATACCTAGGAATAAACCTACCTAAGGAGGTGAAAGACCTGTACTTGGAAAACTATAAATCACTGATGAAAGAAATTGAAGATAACACAAACAGATGGAGATATATACCATTTTCTTGGATTGGAAGAATTAATATTGTTAAAATGACCATACTACCCAAGGCAATCAACAGATTCAATGCAATATCTATCAGAATATCAATGGCATTTGTCACAGAACTAGAACAAATAATTTTAAAATTTGCATGGAAACACAAAAGACCCGGAATAGCCAAAGCAATCTTGAGAAAGAAAAACAGAGCTGGAGGAGTCAGGATCCCAGACTTAAGATGATACTACAAAGCTACAGTAATCAAAGCAGTATGGTACTGGCACAAAAGCATACATACAGATCAATAGAACAGGATAGAAAGCCCAGAAATAAACCCACGCACCTCTGCTCAATTAATCTACAACAAAGGAGGCAAGAATGTACAGTGGAGAAAAGACAGTCTCTTCAATAAGTGGTGCTTGGAAAGCTGGACAGCTACATGTGCAATAATGAAATTAGAACATTCTCTACATCATATACAAAATAAACTCAAAATGGATTAAAGACCTAAATGTAAGACCAGAAGCCATAAAACTCCTAGAGGAAGACTTAGGCAGAACACTCTGTGACAAATCACAGGAATGTTTTTTTGCATCTTTCTCCTAAAGCAAAGGAAATAAAAGCAAAAATAAACAAATGGGACCTAATTAAACATAAAAGATTTTGCATGGCAAAGGAAACCATCAACAAAAGGAAATGACAACCTACTGAATGGGAGAAATTGTTTGCAAATGATGTGACCAATAAAGGGTTAACATCCAACATATATAAACAGCTCATACAATGGACCATCAAAAAAGCAAACAACCTGATTAAAAAAAGGGCTGAAAAACTGAATAGACATTTTTCCTAAGAGAACATGCAGGTGGCCAACAGGCACATGGAAAGATGCTCAGCATTGCTAGCATTGTAAATTGTAAATGTAATGTAGCATTACATTAACATTTGAAATGTAAATCAAAACCACAGTGAGGGCTTCCCTGGTGGCTCAGTGGCTGAGAGTCTGCCTGCGGATGCAGGGGACACGGGTTCGTGCCCTGGTCCGGGAAGGTCCCACATGCTGCGGAGCGGCTGGGCCCGTGAGCCATGGCTGCTGAGCCTGCGTGTCTGGAGCCTGTGCTCCGCTACGGAAGAGGCCACAGCAGTGAGAGGCCCGCGTACCGCCAAAAAAAAAAACACAATGAAATATCACCTCACACCTGTCAGGATGGCTGTCATCCAAAAGAACACAAATAACAAATGTTGGCAAGGGTGTGAAGAAAGGGAACCCTCCTACATTTTCGGTGGGAATGTAAATTGGTGGAGCCACTGTGGAAGGCAGTATGAAGGTTTCTCAAAAAACTAAAAGTAGAACCACCATATGACCTGGCAATTCCAGTCCTGGGTATATATCTAAAAAAACAAAACACTAATTTAAAATAAAGACACATGTACCCCAATGTTCATAGCAGCATTATTTACAATTGCCAAAGTATGGAAATAACCTAAGTGTGTATCAACAGATGAATGGATAAAGAAGATGTGGTATATATAGATATACAATGGAATACTACTCAGCCATAAAAAAGGAACAAAATTTTGCCATTTGCAGCAACATGGATGGACTTGCAGGACATTATACTAAGTGAAATAAATCAGACAGAGAAAGACAGATACCCTATAATCTCACTTATATGTGGAATCTAAAAAATACAAACTAGTGAATATAGCAGGAAAGAAACAAGACTCACAGATATAACGAACAAACTAGTGGTTACCAGTGGGGAGAGGGAAGGTGGGCGAGGGATTATGACGTTAGGGGATTAAGAGGTACAAACTATTATGTGTAAAATAAGCTACAAGGGTATATTGTACAAAATGGGGAATATAGCCAATATTTTATAATAACTATAAATGGAGTATAACATTTAAAAATTGTGAATCACTATATTGTACACCTACAACTTATATACTATTGTACATCAACTATACTTCAATTGAAAAAAGAGAAAATTATCACTCTGATCTCATAAATACATTAGATGGGTTTTACTCTACTGTCTTATTGATACTTGGGCCAATTATCAGTTTATTGACTTTTAGCTCCAAATCCACCTTTCACTGCTTTGTTCTGTGATAATAGAGTTGGACTCTTTTTTTTAAATATTATTTTTTCATTTGTTTATATTTATTATTTTTGGCTGCATCGGGTCTTAGTTGCGGCACACGGGATCTTTCGTTGTGGCGCATGGGCTCTTCATTGAGGTGTGCGGGCTTCTCTCTAATTGTGGCATGTGGGTTTTCTCTCTCTAGTTGTGGTGCACAGGCTCCAGAGTGCATGGGCTCTGTAGTTTGCGGCACATGGGCTCTCTAGTTGAGGTGAGCAGGCTCAGTGGTTGTGGCGTGCGGGCTTAGTTGTTCCATGGCATGTGGAATCTTCCCAGACCAGGGATTGAAGCTGCAGTTCCAGTCCCCTGCATTGGAAAGCGGATCCTTTACCACTGGACCACCAGGGAAGTCCCTGGAGTTGGACTCTTAACTGTCTTGTTTACCAGGTGGTTGAGCTTTGTCAGTACTCTAGTTGCTACTGAGTTGGTCATTGTTTCTAGGCCTTTTCTATTGAAAGAGCTTGGAAATTTTTTTAAGGAAAATTACGTTACAAATTTATATTGATATTTTTGGTTCAAATTTAGGATTACAGATTTTAATTTGTTAGATTTTATATTTGTACGACATTTTACTTATGTGAAAAAAATACCATTCCTAAGCACAGTAACAGAATTGTTTATCCTATGATATAGTAGCTTCAGAATAATAATAATATTAAATAATATTACTATAAATGCTAAAAGAAGCTTTTTAAAAAATTCTTTAAATTTTTAAGCTTTGAACTTTTAAAAACTTTATACTTTTAAACTTTTTTTTTTTTTTAACATTCTTAGGGTATTCCACTAAGGATGTTTAGTCTAATTACAAGATTTTTTGTGTTGTTTAATTTGAGTAAATTAAAATTGATAATTTATGCTCCTCACCACATCATAGAATTAAAGTCCCAAGCGATGTATTTTATTTAATTAATTAATTTACTTAAATTCCCGGGATCTACTTTTAACTTTTTAATAAATTATGCCATACAATACAGCTTTAAAATTCAGTGACTCATAAAGTTATTATTGAAGTCAGAGATAGTGTGTGTA